CGCCTTTCCTCGGGCCCCGCATGCCGGGGCTGCCGGCCACAGCCCGTGTGCACACAGACGGGCCCAGCTTGGGCCCGGCGAGGACGGGACCGGGAGCCGGCCCGCATAGTTACCAGCCAAGAGAAATGCATATCATCGCCCGCCCGCTGACCAAGCCACACGTCCTCCCCTCATCGGCACGGCCTGATTGAAACCAGCCAGCCCCAGCCAGAAAAAAGACAGCCCCGTTCACTGCAACGGGTGAAAGCCGGGGCTTGTCTTCCCGGAGCGACGCTCACGGCGCCTGCAAGCAGCGGCCCAACGGCAGCATTTTGCAATGCTCACTGCTCAAGTCTGTGGCAGAGCTGAAGGGTGTTGCCGGCTCCTCCAGGCTACTTGAGGAAGCACCTGCCCCATCCTCCTCTTGCAGGCACCGAATCCTGAAAGCAGCTTGCAGAGCCCCCGGTCCCCAGGGAGAGAGCCCCAGAGCCAGGGGCGCCTGCCCGGCCCCAAAAGGGAGGAAGAGGGAGAACTGTTCAGTATCTTCATCCATCTGGAAGATGGGATGCGGGGCAGCCTCAGCAAGTTCGTGGATGAGTAGTAGATATGCTCTCCATCCAGAGAGACCCAGAAAGAATTGGGAGATTGGGCCAAAAGAAATGTCATGAGGTTCAACAAGAACAAGGGCAAAGACCTGCACTTAGGACGGATGCTGATCTTCTCGCACTGCACAGCACCCTTCAAAGGATCCACGGCAGCCCTGAGGCCCCGGCTGAGAATCACTGCCAGGCAGATACAACCTCCCCTGGGAACTGGGTGCATTGGGCATTTGGCCTTGTGCGGTGCTATGAAAGCAGGCAGCAAGCCTCCTGCCACAGTGCCGGCTTCCCTTCCCCTCGGACCCCCTCCACGGGCTCGGCAGACCCATTACGCAGCTGCACACGGACACTTTGCTTGCAACGGGAAACGTCTCCTGCGCCCGTGAGACCAGGTTGAGGAGACGGCTGCATCCATCAGGCGGTGAACGCAGCACTTGCAGCTGGAAACACAGCTGGGTTTAGGGAGCAATTCGGTCATGCCTGGGCCCTGCAGAGACTGGGCCAAGCCCGACTGCCGTACTACCCAGCTGACCCGGGTGTAACGCCATGGACCTGAGGTGTCTGAGGCCGGAGGTACTGGCTGGTGTCTAACCAGAAGCAATGTAGCCGGGCCCTGCACACAGGCTGATTTGCTCAGGCTAATTGGCCCTGCCACTCGACAAGGCTAATTGGCCTGCCTGAAGCACTGCGCAGCCCAGCTGGAAGAGTGTCGTGCGCCGCTCCGGAGCACAGCCAACATGCACACAGTCGTGGGTGAATTGGGATGTACCGAGGGATTTCCACCTGCACGTGTAAGCAAATCACAGCACACAGCTGCCTTCCAACAACCGTGCAAACGGAGACAACCTGCTGCCATGCACGCGATGCCAGGCTGCATTTCTGCACCCATCTTGGCCCACGAGCTTGGAAACAAAGAGCTGACACGCCCGGGGAGGCACTTAGCAATGCATCAGCATCGCTGCAGGGAAACGCTGCTCTCCCGCGTTAGAGCCACC